ATCTAATAATTTATTCATTGAACTTATTTTTAGTACAGTTTAACTTTATTAACTGATTTTTTAAAAATTTTCAATTGGTTTCCAATAAATTATGGTATATTCAATATAAAATCATTTTCCCACTTATATTTAATAATTTATATATTTCGGTATTGTTTTGAATTAAATTGAATTATATTAAAAATTGTCTCATAAAATTTAAAGAAAACATTTTACAGTCCTATAAAAGTAACTATTCTAATATTTTATGAAAAGAAAACTTTTACTATTTTTTGAAAATAAGAATTTAAAATAGAATATAATAAAAGATTTCAAACAATCTTTGTATTTTTTTAGTACTTATTCGTACAGACAACAAAGCATGTTAATTTTTTAACGCGTTTAAAGTTTAACAAATTTTAATAAAATGTTTTTAATTTTAAACATTAAAATAACCTTGCCATAATGTTTTATTTATTATTTTATTTGTTTATTTATTGTTTCATACATTTATTGTTTATTTATTGTTTCATTTAAAAAAGTATAAAACTAATTTAAAATAAAACATTTTGTCAGTGTCAACTATGTGTTATTTTCAAAAAAGAAAATTATTTATTATTTACTATATTATTTTTTATATTTATTTACGGAAAAAAACACATCTAATATCTTTATAAATTTATATAAATAAAATCTTTACTATATAAATATAAATATATAAATAAATATCTTATATAAATATAAATATTTATATAAATATAAATATCTTATACAAATATCTTATATAAATATTATGTAATATAAATATCTTATATAAATAAAATCTTTACTATATTTAATAACGGAAAAAAACATCTTAACTTTTTACAGTATTTGTGTTTATAAGATAAATATATCAAGTATATTATTCATATACTAACTAACAACAACATGAACACTTTGATCATCGAGGCTGCGGCCCAAGCTGCGCTTGATATTGTTTTTCCAAATGCCACCTTTAACAACACCTACAAGCAATCTGTTGGTTGCATGCTAAAAGCCGCAATTCACTCTACACTAAACACTTTATTAACAGTAAAACTAAACACTTTATTAACAGTCTCTCTTGAGAAAAGAATTGCTGATCTTGAAAATATTCTTCCAACTACAGTCAAACCAAATTGGTCAAACTTGTTCAAAGAGAATTCCTCAACAGCGTCATCAACTTTTCAACTACAATGTTCATGACACAAGTGATAGGTCCGAGTGTCTGAAAAATATTGTTATATCTGGCCTAATTGTCGACTCCGAAACCACCAATGATTTAAAAGTTGCCATGAGTTTCCTGGCATCAAATGGCTTCAATACTGATAAATTCAAAAAAGTCTATCGACTTATTAACAACACAATGAACTCACCAAATTTGTTACTTGTTTCATTTGGAAATAGCAACAATGCTGCAGAGGCCTTACATATCGGCAATAGTCTTTCGAGCTCCTCATTAAAAGGTGTATTTGTTTGCAAGGATCATACACCTGCTCAACAAACACAATTTAGAGAATTAAACTCTAAAAAAAAACAAATGAATGCATCACTTAAAGAGAAGCTAGACAAACCCTTTCGCTATATTATTTATCGAAGAACTCAAACTGTCCGATGCATCGACATTAAATCCAGAGAAGCTAAAAAATGCATGCCATCATGCTATGCCATCATCAGCTTGTTTGCCCAGCTCAAACAACAGTGATGAAACCTTCAAGATCAAAGTTGACTGTCAAAGTACATCTATTAACACATGTCAACACAAACAATCAAACCCAGCACTTACCAATCCTTAAACAAACTTCTTCTACACAAACCCTAAGTTCACTCAATAATTAAATTAAAGAACTAAACTAATTTTCCGCTCATATTACAAAATTACCAGGCACCTTTTCATGTTTCACATAACAATGCAAAAGGAGGAGTTGCAATCTATTTAAAAACTAACCTTACAGTCTATCAAGTTACAGAGTCCCAGCTACCTACTGAAGTTAGCGAGCAAGTCTGGTGTGGTCTCAATGTTGGAAAGAATAGCATTCTTATTGGTTGTGTTTACAGGCCCCCATCATCAGACATAGCTACTAATAATAAAATAAATCGATCAATCAAAACAACGTCCTCACTTGTAGGTCAAGGCAAATTTACCCATCTATTATTAGTTGGTGATTTAAATATCACATTACTTGGTCAAGGTCTGGTGGATTATGTCGAACCTCTTCTAAAGAAAACTTAGAATTCCTCCATGTAGTAAGTTCTAGTTTGTTATGAACCATCTTTTAGTAGTAATTTTCTTGATCTAGTTTTTACTGACGACCCAAGTAGTCTTACCAATATTTCAATACAACCTCCACTTGGTCACACTTTGAATGGTAAACTTCACTTGACAATAACATAGGATCCAATACTTACTGACAACGCAGAGAAGACCAGAAGTACGATTAAAACAGATTATAACAAAGCTGATTTCAATGGCATAAACTCCTACTTTCACAGACAGTTTTGGAAAACGCTTTTTAACGATAAAAATGTTGAAGAGTGCTACTAAATATTACAATATCATTACCATATAGTTATGTATAAATTTGTGCCTGTTTACCGTTCAACCATTCGAAAGAAAAAATCCAATTTAATATATTTTAATCATGAAATTAAGAAAGCAACAAAAGATAAATTTTCAGCATTTACTTGCCTCCGTGCTGCTCCGCAAACTGTCAAACCATTTCTTAAATCAGCATTCAATAAATTTAAAATTCAAAAAAAAAGATGAAATTCAACCACGGATCAAATAGAAATGTCAAATATTTTAAATAAGCAATTTTTTTCTGTGTTTTCGAAAGATTTTATTAATGTTGTACCATCGTTTGAGCCATGTACCACTACTTACGCAAATATTAACAAAAACATCTTTTCAAAAGCATCAATAGAAAATCAATTAAAAGCACTTAACAAATTTAAACCTGCAGGGATAGATAATTTTCATCCTCATATGCTAAATGAAATGCACTCTTCATTTTCAACTCCAATTTCAATCATTTTTCGCAAATCTTTTTGCTCAAGTTTAGTTCCAAATAGCTGGAAGTTAGCTAATATTACACCTATCTACAAAAAAGATCAAAAAACTAACCCTGAAAACTACCGCCCAATCCAATTACATCTGTTCTATGCAAAATTATGGAACGACTTGTTAGAAATGCAATGCTTAAACATTTACTTTCGAAATACCTTCTTGACACAAACCAATATGGCTTTACACCTGGTAAGTCTTGTTTAACCAATTTATTGAAATCATTTGATTTAATTACCCATGCTATGGAATCGCGTTATGACGTTGTAGTTTTGTTTGACTTTGCCAAAGCGTTTGATAAAGTTAGTCACTCTCTACTTCTTAAAAATAGTTCGCGCGTATGGTTTTGTTGAATATATCTGCCAGTGGATAAATGCACTCCTATCCAATCGAAAACAACGAGTTATTAAAGAAAATTCAGAATCCGACTGGTTGAACGTCCTCAGGGTTCATGTATTGGACTTAACTATTCCTCATTTTTATTAATGATATGCCTCGTCTACTCAATCACCATTGCAAACTTTATGTTGACGACACCAAAATTATTGTGATTATAAAAGAACCCTATGACCTGCAGCGATTACAAACCGACATTGATAGAGTAGTTGACTGGGCTGACCTTAATCTAGAAAAATGCAGTTATATGATTTTTAACAAGCATTGATGCACACAATAACTAAACAACAAAACTTTTGTTGATGATAAATTTAATGATCTCAGCTTCCAACTAACAATGACTGACAAAACTGGCTTTTCTCACATTCTTAAAGAGACCATCTCTGAACGTGATCTTGGTGTCCTTGTTCACAAAACCCTGAAGCAAAAGCTATTTCAAACTCATATACTGTTCTTGGAATTCATAGACAGACTTTCAAAATTGGACTCTTGAAATGTTCCGTGTCCTTTACTGCTCTTATGTAAGGCCTCATTTGGAGTATTACTCATCAGCATGGGACCTATTTCAATTAAAAATATATAAGCTCTTGTAGCTGTTCAAAATCGAGCCACAAAACTTGTCCCAAATTTGTGAACCATGAAGGCCAAGGAACGCTGCTCAGCTATTGGTATCCAATCACTTGAAAATTGAAGGCGCCGAAGTGATCTTATACAATACTTTAAGATTTACCACAGCATAAGCAAAGTTAAATGGATCGAATCACTATCTCCAGCTCCTGCACTTGCACAACCTGGACCAGCCGGTGGTCTTCGGGGTTTTCCCCATCGCATTTGGGCACTGAGAATTATTAAAAGTGTAGCTCGCAAAACTTTTTTATGTAACCGTGTTGCAGTTGATTAGAATGCGCTATCACCAGATATCATTACCCAATAGAAAGGTACCAGATATTGTCAACATTAAAATTTTCAAAAAAAGCTTGACAGATTTTTTGGCTCGCTTCCAAAAAAACTGTATGATTGGTACTTCTGTTTCTCATTTGGGAATGTTATTAACACAATGTGCCGACAATTTTATTTTATTTTTTATTTTTGTTTGGTGATCCTCTATACTGGATCTACCATAGCAGGGATTGTTTACTTTCCCAGCTTCACGGGTTTTTCTGTTGTAGATTAAATTTAAATTTAATTAATTAATTAAATTTTCAGAAATAAATTATATACTTATATAATATTTTTAAATTATATATTGATCATCAATTATATATTATTTTTAAAAAGAAATATTTTTTATAAAGCTTTTTATTATTTATTTAATTCATATTATTTTTAAAATACATTTTAAATTCTTTATGTTAACATGACACACAAACAAATACTGAACTTTAGTTAACGTGAAGTCATTAACATGACACTTTAGTTAACATGACACTTTAGTTAACATGATTCTGTAATCAAAAAATTGATTTTTTATTGCAGAATCATGTAAACTTAAGTTCAGTAATTGTTTTTACTAATTGCCTTGTCATAATTACTGGTTTTTAATGCATATTTTTCATTTAGTTTTATAATTATAATTAATAAATATTTTTTTAAATGGATTTATTATCGATTGGTCGTAGAACTGCAAATTGGTTAGTAATCATTTCTTTATCAGTGATTTTCTATATTTTTGGCAAAGTTTTACCATCATTTAAGCAAGGATTTTTCTGTGACGATGAAACAATTAAAAAGCCATATGTGTCTCAAGAAACAATTCCATTTTCTGTTCTGCTTCTTATTTCGACAGGCTTAATAGTTTTTGTGGTAAGTTTTTGAACTGCTTTAAAATTTTAGTAATTGAAAATTTATTAAAGGTTAGATATATTCTTTATAAATATCTTCCAGTAACTTAAAAATACTCTTATTTTTATGCGAGTCTTAGTTGGTGCTTGTATATTAAGTTTTAAGTGAAGTTAAAATAATTCACTTGATACAAATTTTATTTAAAAAAAATCTTAAGTTAACTTTGATAATAAATCATCTTTAAAAAATAAATTTTATAAATGAATATCTTCATATAATAGTACAACAGACCTTTTTAGGTATGTCTTACTGATTGTATTAACTTCATCTATTGGAAAAAGAAAAATGCAATATGTGAGGACGTTATTGAAACAACGTTATGCTGCTTTAAGATAAGCAACTGGATTTCAAGGTTTTTTATAAATATAAGTTTTTATAGTTACATTGTTTCTATGGTTTCATGTTTATGTTTAGCAACTTATTAGTTATGTATGTTTAAACATAAGCTCTTATGATAATGGTTGTATTAAAATAAAAAGTTGTCTTTAACTTTTTATTACTGTGAAAAAAGTATTTTCTATTACCTCATATTATTTATTAGCTACTTGTAATTTGTAACTACAATTTTAAAAGTTATTTGTTATATATTTATACTTTAAATATAAACAATAAATCATAGCAACTTTTGTTAATTTTAGAATAGATTTGATAACAATCAAATTACACAAAGAATTTATTGAGATTATTTAGTTAATTTTAACATAGAAAATAATAGCTTCATTTTACAAGTTAACAACTATCAAATATTTCATTTAAACCTATAGTTCACTGCTTCCGTTTTTAACTCACAAACATTTTCCTGAATAACAATTTTGATTAAAAATATTTATTTTCATAGTAAAAAGTTATGCGAGAATGGTTTAGGTTCACATGGTTTATGTTCACCAGAGCAAAGAGTTTTATGCCTATTTTTTAAGAAAAAAATGTATATATATATATATATATATATATATATATATATATATATATATATATATATATATATATATATATATATATATATATATATATATATATAAAATTATGATTAAAAAATATATATATATATTTTTGATAAATTGTTGAATTTATGCCTGCAAAATATATACTGACCACGCTAATATTTTTATTTCTTTACAACTTGACCACAGCTATTTTGATATTTTAACAATTTGAATGCAATAAAAAAAGTGTTACGCTATAAATATCTTTATATCGTTGATATAAAGATATTTATAGCGTAGTTTATAACTCTAATTAATTTATAAAATTAATTAGAGTTATAGTTTACATAAACGGTTGCGTAAATTAATAAAAAACGTTATAAATAAGTTTTTTTATGTAGGCAATATTTTTTTTGATAAATGTAAACGTTTGAAACTATTTTCTTATGTCTTCCTAAAACATTTTTAAACCATTATTTTTAGAAAGAATTTTTAAGTTACTTTAATTTGTGAGTAAGTTCAAAAGCTTTTGTGACTAATAACTTTTACACATTTTATGTGAATTACACAAGAATATAAAATAACTTTATTTACTTATATACTTGTGTATTTTGTTGATTTAATGAAAAAGTTTTAAAGCATTTTGTAATGTTCATACGATTAATTTTTATGACAATTTTTTTAAATGTTTTAAATTTTTTGTAAACAATTTTTTTTTCTTTTTCAATTTCGTTAGAAATGAATGAGATTAAATCTTTTATTATAATTTTTAAAATTGTTACACGAAGCGCTCAAATTAAAATTAAATTAAAAAGCTTGTTGGCAGTTTATTTTATTTAAATCGCAGGCGCATTTTATTATTATTTTTTTTCTATTTTTACAAATAAAAAAGTTCGAAACCTTTTTTTTAATTAGACTCACTAAATAGAGCATGAAATTAGTAAAAATTACTATTTTGAAACAACTACGTTATTTTTTTAAACAATTTTTTTTTTGCAACTTTTTTGACAAAATTAATGTTTATACAACTTAAAAATATTATATAAAACACTTTTTAATAAGTTTAATAAAATTTGTTCTTTTATTAAACCAATCATTAGTAGTAATTTGTTACTTAATTTAAAAACGTTTTGCTTAACTTTAATAATGCTTAAAAAGAAAAGCTTTAATAATGTTTATTTCATACGTAATTAAAAACGTAACAAAAAGTTTTGCTTCGAGTTAAAGTTTTTATTTTCATTTTAGGGCTTATATAATTTCTTTTTCGATATGAATTTTTTTTTCGTTTCTTTTTTTGTTAGGATTTTTTTTTTCGTTAGTTTTTTTTTAATTTTTTTCTTAGTTTAAGTTTAGCTTGCATTTCTACATTCAGAACATTTCTAAAATTTTTTACTCATCAAAACATATGAACATTGTTTATTAAACAATCGTGGTCAAGGTCAAGCCTGATATATATATATATATATATATATATATATTATATCAAGCCTTTACAGGACGTCTTTTTGGTCACACCCTTCATATGACTGCCCATATAATACTTTGTTTTTACAACTTGGCCACAACTTCTAGCATATTTTATGTTAAAAAAAAAATGTTTAAAAAAAAAATAAACTAACTATAAGCTGGAAAGAAACACGAAAAATTGAAAAAAGAATGCAAAACTGAACTAAAAATTTATAAAACATGTAATAGTTAATAATTCTAAGCACTACATAAATAATGGCGATAAAGGAAAATTTTTTAGAAAAATTGCTATTAATTGAAATGCTTTTAATTAAATTAATTGGTAATCATTTATTTTTTATTTGTTAAGTTTGTTTCTCTCTTCAGTTTATCATTATTATACTTTTGATTGTGGTGCCTACGAACAATTACTTTGTTTTTACGATTTAGGACAGTGTAGTTAGATTCATCACTAAAAACAGTTTTTCTTAATTTATAATTACTCAATTTTAAAATCGCTTTGCAAAGTTTAATTCGTTTTAAATGGTCAGTTGGTTTTAATAATGGTTTTCTGGCAGCAACATAGCACCACAGCTTACGGTCTAGTAGTCTTCTATTAACTGATTGCCTTGATATTTGATTTTTAAGTGCCAGGTTTATTTCTTGTGCAATCTGTTTTGCTGATGATTTTTTCTGGTAGTTCTATAAATAGAATTATCATCAGTGATATTTGTCTTTCTTGGTTGCCCACAACACTTTTTATCAACAGTTCTACCATTTTATTTTTATCAACAGTTCTACCATTAAACTTAGCTCTACTTACACATGAAAAAATTTAATCTTAAAAATAAAGAACTTTAAAATTCAAGATATTTCAATGTTAGAGTGACCTTCCATATTAAGGCCAATAAAATACTGTTTGATTTCTTGACTTTTTTCTTTCCATGGGAAATTTTCAGACCTCTATTATTATTATATTCTAGAATTAAGTAGTTTAAAACAAACTTTTAAAATACTATTTTAAATATATTTTTGTCATTAAAAAGGAGAGTTTAATTTCTGTAATTTCAAAAAAGTTTTTGCTTTCTTCGATCTTGCTTCGAATACGCCGGAGCTGCTTCGAATACGCCGGCCTTAGTAGTAGAAGTACAAGGGCTTCAAGAGGTTTACATTGGCTTTTTTAAAGGCTTAAAATACCACCTAATATATGTACTTTCTTTTTCAAATCGCTATAAAATCATCAGCTTATACCCTATTTTGGTTGAGTCACACCATTCGCAAACTTTTTTTTAAGGTTCCTTCGGCGAAAAACTTTGCTTAACTAGGACCTATATTTTTATTGCATATACCTGCATAAAATAACAAAACTTCCAATATTTTAATAAAAATTCCAAAATTTGAACTCTCAAATATAAAATACCTTTGCATAAAATATAATTAAACTAAATATTTTTGCAGCTATGTTCAATTTGGTTAAGCTTCAAATAAGTTCTATTTATTAATAACTATTGTAATAAAAATTTAAAAACATCAATTGAAGTTTCAAACAGAATACCTTTGCATCACACACATGATTAACTTCATGTTTTCCATATTTGCCATGTTTACTGCAAATATAATTTGCTTATATTCCTGTATTTGTATCATATTACTTGTTATTTATTTCTATAAAGCAAATATAAACAGTTGATAGCTCATAATTTATTATGAATGAAAAAAACTTTGTAATTTTTTATCAAGGCTTATCAAGCGTCTGTGGTTGATTTTATGTGGCGCTTTAATTGTTAATATAATTACCAACATTGGAAAAGTTATGGTTGGTAGATTGCGTCCACATTTTTTAACTGTATGTCAACCAGATTATAGCAAATTTAATTGCTCAAGTGGGTATATTACTTCAGATGTGTGCACTGGAGACATTAAAAAAGTTATTGAAGCCAGGTTTTTTAAAGTTTTTTTTTTTTTATAAGCAAAAACAATTTTAATTATTATTTATTTTAAATCACCTTTTAACTAAAAAACTTGATTATTTGTAGAAAATCTTTTCCGTCTGGCCATACTTCATATGCAATTTTTGTTGCAGTGTTACTGTCACTGTATATAGAATATGTTGTTGTAACTTCTCAAATTTATTTGTTGAAACCATTTGCACAACTCACATTAATTTGTTTGGGACTCGCATGCTCGTTTACTAGAATATCAGATTATTTTCATCATTGGTCAGATGTTTTAGCTGGATTGATTATTGGTACATTATTGGCTTACTATACGGTAAGTTATTTTATAAATCTAATTGCCTTAAGTAGTTTAAATGTTACATTATATTAAAATAGCATATTATGCAATGAAGTTAAAACTCTAAGTGTGGAGAAATATAAGTTGTGTATACATTTTCTACAGATTCTTAAACTTAAGGATTCTTTATTATTATTGTTTAAAGCTTGATATCCCTACTGAACATGACCTCTCTCTCATCAATAGTAAGCTCTTGAATGCTCCTGGTTGTTCACTTCTTTTGAATGGTTGTTTAATCTTGTATTATATAGGTTGCCTAATTTTCTCTAGTAAGTATCACCATATATAAGTTGAAATAAAATACTTAATGTGGTAGTAGACTAGTTGTAAAACTTTTTGCTCACAATTAAAAAGTTTAAGGTGGATTTTAGGTTCAAACCCACCCTATGCAAGTACCACTTGGTTTAAATGGGTTTTTTTATTTGCTAATGGAGTTTGATGTCATAACAAAGAATTTGCAATTAATTTAATGAAAATTATATTAGATTTATGACAATAAATATTTTAGAAAATACAAATGATAACGTAAATATGTCTATCTAAAAAAGTTGAAGTATATTGAATAAACCCTAAAGGTTTTCTTAAAAAATATCTTCGTTAAGAACATCGTTATTTGAGGTTTATCTTATATAACTCTCTTAAAAAACTATTTAAAATCCCTTTTTATTAAAAACCATTTATTCCTGTTATTAAAGCTGTTTAAAGTTATTATAGAGAAATTGTTTAAAAAGACTTAATATATTGTGAAAATATATAATTTATTTCATTGCCTATATAATTTATTTCAAAATTGTTAAATAGATTTTATTTTATTTTTGTATTTATAAACATATAAAAAAACTATTTTATTATATAAGCATAAAAATTTTTATTGTAAACAGTTTTAAAGTTTTCAAAAATAATTTTATTCAGAAGCAATTTACACAATGATAATATCAAACTTTAAAAAAAGAGTTCCAAATAATTTTTCTTTTTTGTAGTAATTTTATGTATTAAGATAATTTCTTTTTTTTTTTTTTTGTGCAAACCATAAATAGCTTGTGTAAACCAGTTTAGGGGAGTGTGGGTGCTAAAGGTGTTTGGTGTCTTAGGTGCAAGAGCTAAAGCTCCCTATTTCTTCTATATATATATACACGCATATATACATCTTGTACATATATATACCTTGTTTAGCAATTTAAAGTCACAAACTGCTTTTTATATTATAACTACATTGTCATTTACATTGTTGTTACAAATTTTGTCATTTATATTCCCCTTCATCTTCACAATGGATGTACAGTAGACCAATTATAATTACAGTATACCAGTAATAATTGATTAAAAATAATTAAATGTTTATGAATTACCATACTAAATGTTTAATCAATTAATTTGTTTTAAAATTTAAAAACAATCTTTGACAAAAAAAAAATGTGTTATTGTCATTGCAAGAAACTGATGGAAAAAGTTTGTTTGATAGGGCATTATTGTTTCTCTTAAAAATTAGGTTTTAGAGATTTTCGGAAAGTCTTAAAATTGTCATTAATACAGACTAACATTCTTTTATCTTTCAAATATTAATCTAATTAACGTTCCCAATGATAATGCAGAACTATTTACAAAAAGGTTTTTCTTTAATTCATCTTTTAAATCTAATGATCACACCATTCATGTTCTCCTAAAGAAACAGTTTAATTCACTGCTAAACACTCATTTTAATCACATACTTAGACCATCTTATATCTGATATCTCTTCTGTGAGCTTGGAGCTTGCTGTGTCTGATGAATCTCTCTTTTTCTTTTAAATGTCCCTACTCTAGTATTTTAAACTGACCTGCTCTTGCTGCCAAACTTGTGCCTGATTTGTGTCTGATTGTTATATTTTTCCATAGAGCTATAATCACTTATTTCATCAACCAAAACTGAACTGAAAATGCTGAACACCAAGTCATCTTGCATGACTTGTTGTTCAGCATGTTTGCATCCTTTTACTGTAACTCAAAAATGTTTTGTTTGTCTAGTTTTTTTTGCTCTTTTTAAGTTTTTAATTCAGGCTTTTTTAGTCTTTAACTTTAAGTTAAAGTCTTTAACTTTAAGTTAAGTTTAAATTTTTTGGTCTGTTGTAATATTTATTTTGTTTTTGATTTTTAAATCTTTTTTGATTGGTTAATTTAAAATTATTTTATTTCAACAGATGAGTAACAATCAATTCACATCTCACAAATCTAAAATATTAAGGTTTTATAAACTGTTAAAGATGATAGATGAATATTAAAAAACTAAAAGTTGAAACTTTTAATTTTATTTTTTTAACTCTCTTGCTCTTTAACTCTTTCTTTGTTATTTTTTTTTACTTCAAAAAATTGTTGGGTAAAATAATAATAAAAAAAAAAAACTTTGTTGGTAAATTAAAACTTTGTTTTATTTCACCATATATGCTTGATTTGAAGACTTATTAATATATAAGCGCTACGTTTTAAAACAGAATGTAACTTATTAAACTACATTCAGAAAAAATGTAGTTTAATAAGTTACATTCTGGTTTTTATCAGGATTGATAACATTGCTTAAAAATGTGATAAAAATAGATTTTAAATGAAGGTCAAGTGTTTATAAAAACGTAGAAAAATAAAAGGATAATTTTGTGAATATTGAAAAATTTGTAATGGATAATTTGTAAAAGCCTACAGGTATGAATAGTTGTAACAGGTATGGATAGTTGTAATTATTAAAACAAGAAATATTTAAAAACATCTCATGTTTTTTAAATAATTTTTTACAGCATGGTAACTCAGAACTTTATCTATTCAAATAGGATAATTTTTTTTTCAAAGATAAATTTTATAATTAAAATTTTTAGAAAAGTAAGTTTGTAAAAATCTTATTAATCATTTTTGAAATTAAGGCATTGTTATAATTCCAATTCCATAGCTACAATTAATTAATACGTCAGCGAATCAAAAGTTTTTAAAACTTTCATTAAAATTATTTATAAAAATAATTCTAATGATAAAATGTTGAAATTAAAAAAACTTTTATTTGTACAAGCAATATTTTATTAATAATTAAAAATCAGCAATCATGATTTATTTCAATTAAATAATTTCAGTATTTTAAATTCCTATCGTGATTCCTTAATTTAACCCTTATCCCTTGGTTTCTTTAATTTATTTGCAACCCTTAAAAATGGTATATGCGGCGTAATAATAGAAAATTATTTTTTTGACAGATGTTAGTTGAAAAAAAAAAAATTGAAAGCTTTTTATTTTGGAAAATATTAGTATAGCAGCTCTTAAAGTTAAGCACTTTAATCAGATAATTTAAGAATTTAATTTGTGAAAGTACAAAGTAAATATTATAAAAAAGCATAAGCAAAATATTATAAGGCCCATGGGCATTCACGGATGGGTCTTATGCTTATATGCTATATTGTATAATCCATAGTCTGTAATGGTTAATGTCAAAGTCATTTTAATATGATAAATAATTCATGATTGCCAAAAAAAATACTAAATAGCATCTTAGTTTTCCTGAAGACCCAGGCAGTTGCTAAAATTCTGCTAAAACAGCAATTTTGATAAAAATTGGCTTAGGAAATACTTTTAAGGGGTTAGGGTTTTCTAGGAGGTTAGGATATATTTTTTGTACTTGTGACAACAACTATTTTTTTCTACATTTTGTCAAAGCAAGTGTTTTTCTTTATTATAAGAAACCAATTTTTGATAAATTACAATTATACTTTATGTGCTTACCCCAAGCCTATCCCACTCTTGTTTTGAGTATCTAAGACATATAACATATAATTAGATCATAACATATAATTAGGCCAGCTTTTTCTAATTTAAATAGATAAGTCTCAAACGTTATGCATTAAACAATTTGGTAACATTAGGGGGATTCCATAAAAGATGTACACAGGTATAGAGTTGAGGTCACCCAAAAGCGTACGACAAAGAGGGGTTTTAAACAGTAATTACATACAAAGTTTGACTGTTTATGACAGATTAATCTTTCTCATTAATTTTTCTTCAAGTTTGAATTTTCTTTTTTAAACAAAAAGCATTTTTTAGTTGTTTTGAGAGCATTCAAGTTTATGTGTAAATTTTTGTTTTATGGACATACATGGAAACTTAATAAACTTGAATATTCTCAAAACATCTTGGTGCGGAAAAATAAAAACAATATTCGTGAGCACTAAAAACCCGAAATAAAGTTCTAAAAACCCGAAATAAAGTTCTAGAGTATTCTGTTGAAATATTTTAGAAATTGTCTTATTAACGATTTGTAACGTTTTGAGATTACTAGCATAAATTATTTTAAGAATATATTATCAAACGAACTTTAATACTAAGGCTCATTCTTGGAGCCACATCTCTCGGAGCCACATCTCTCGGAGCCACATCTCTCGGAGCCACATCTCTCGGAGCCACATCTCTCGGAGCCACATCTCTCGGAGCCACATCTCTCGGAGCCACATCTCTCGGAGCCACATCTGCAAAGCTGTAAATCTTTTAAACTTTGTTAACAAAAATAAAAGATTTAAATATTTTTTAAATTGTCAAAGTTTTGAAAGTTTATTATATATTATAGATTTTATTTGTATATTCTTATTTTTTATTTAAAAAGTGTGCTTTTTTTGTGTAAATGTAATGTTGTGCATCTGTTTTTTATTGTAATGTAATCTTTTAAAGCAATTTTTATGATTTGCTTTGTAAACAAAGACTTTCAACAATAATTTTGTTTTCAATGAAGTTATAAATAATCATCAAAGTTAATAAAACTAATTATGTAATAAACGTATAAGAAGTTTCTGGTTACTAAATGCAAACAATGCAAACAAAGTAACTCGCGGATGAACAAGTACTGCGCCTGAGGTCACGACAGAACAAATTTATAGCAAGTTTTTAAATGTAAAAATTTTAGATATTGGTTTATTGTCTCTAATTATTTTCACCACTCTTAAAAACACGTTATACTTTTTTCTGCTTTAAATA